AAAAAAAAAAAAATAAAACACATTTTTGAAACATTGTGAAATTATCTCTATCACGTTTTTAAAAAAAATTCAATCAAAAATTATATTATATTTTTCCTATCTATAAAACTATCAAACACGTTATAGTATAAAAATTAATGAAAAAAATATTGCTCGAAAACGATATTCCTTTCCAGAAACTAATATGTTTCAATTTAAAGTCACACGCTCGATTTAATCAAATTAGTCCAATGCCACGCAAACTTGCATGTTAACGATCAAACATTTAACACGTGATCAATATTGGAATATTAAGAGCACCATAAATTCACAAAATACTTTAGCTGTTCCAATTAAATTTTGTGTTGTCAAATGTAATCACGATGGAAGCTTTAATCCTTTGAAACTATCAATTATCAATCAATTTCATTGAAGATTATTTTAACAGAAGAGTATTTTAATAGAAGAAATAAAAGCATTATTAATCTTTTCAATACTCTTTTAATTTTAATTCTCAAGCAAGAAAATATTTTTTATAAGAAACGAGAATATAAATTAGAGATATCAAAATATCAAAGATAGAAAAAAATGTATATTGTTTTATAAATATTTTTCTACTATTAACAAAACAATATATATTAAAACTTAATTTAATTTAATTTAATATCATTTAATATATAATAGTGATGATATAACAATGATAGAATTCGTTCGTCAAAAGATCAACAATATTACAATTAATGTACTTTTTATTTATATAAAGCCTTAGAAATAGAAATTTTTTAGAAGCAAAGCTATTTTTGCAATTATTGAGACTTTCAAGAATAATATCTGTAATTTTAAAATAAAATATACATTTTCTTTCTTATAGAACCAATCATTTTTATGAAAAATTTTCATAAAATTTATATTAAGATTTTAATGAAGTAATATTTATGGAATTTATTTGTATAAAAGTTTAAACAACTTTTATCATTTTTGTAACAAGTACTTTGAAAAATTTCCAAAATTCAATACAAAAGCGAAACTGAAAATTGAGATATGACTATATTTGAATTATTTACAGAATTGATTGAATATTTAATATTCATTAAATTATTCATTAAACAAATGAAAAAAATATTAAAAAATATTCCTACAATGATGATATATTCTGTTTATTTTTTTTGTTAGATCAATTCTATTTTTGCTTATTTTAATATTTTTATTATATCGTTTAAACGAAGAAAAAGTCATTTAATATAATATTTTATAATATTATCTTTCAATTTTATATCAGAATTACATTTTAAAATTGAGAATGAAAAATTGATAGACAACAAATATTATAATGAAGATAATAAAATATCAAATGGATATATTTCTCTTAATTCATTAAATTTAAAATATAAATAAAAATTAAAATTTTTATTTATTTAACATTTTATTCGTGATTATTGAGAATTGAAAATTAATTTTTGGAAACTTTTATATGCATTCTGCATTAATTATCTAACACTCAGCCATCTGTGTCAAAGTATCAAGAACTTTTAAGCAATTTTATTATATGCATATAATACTCATAAATATATTCAAAAGTATTAAGATAATTCCATTTACACGCACCATCCTGTAGAACCACGAAGAAAACACGGTATTAATCAACGAGTTAATCAACGAGACCTTTCTACAGCACTCAATTTCCACCATAACGTAACACCATGGTAATACATATGTATTATGCTTGCTACGAAACGGTTGTTTTCCTAATATCCATCCTCATGGTAAATGAGAACAATGCGCCACTCGCACAGTTTCAGACTATATTACGACAAAACCTTGCTCCGTACAAGATTTCCACTTTCCATCCCCATAAATAACATTCATCTCGCAATTAAGGCTCACCTATTCTAATTCGTGAGCTTTATTCCAAAGTCAGTATGATTACACGAGACACGTATATTATCCGGATCCATGTATTCCCTAATCCATGGGCTCAATCTCCACGTACAATTCCTTTTATACCCATTGCTGACTTCCATTTGTGTGGCAATTAATTTTTTCCACCGGTTACCTCGCCCACGAGAATTAAACCAGAAATCTCTTCCTGTAATTCTGGCCGAGGTCAGAAAAATCTATTCAACTTTAATACAAGAACTTCCGTCGTTAACGAAGATTTATCTATCTTTTCGAGTTTACTTTCGTACCCCTCCTCTTTTATTTGGGGAAATATATATATTCTGAAAGAAGTATCCATTACGATTGATCGATTGAGTGTCGAATGTAGAATTGGGTATAATTGATTAGTTGAAAGATAATTGATAGAGGAACATTAAAAATTTATTTCTTTGGGTTTTGTTTTATCTGGCAAATTGTTTATGCTTTCGTAAAATTTTCAATTTTTCCAAATGTTTTATGGATATACAGGAAAGTGATTATTTTCAATAATTTTTATATTATTTATTGTATAAAAAAGAAAAAGTATATATTTTGGAAAAAGTATCTATTTGATTGATTAATTGAGTGTCAAGAATCGAATATAATTGATTAGATGGAGGATAAATAATAGAGATTAATATTTTAGTCTGCCAAATTGTTTTATGTTTTAGTAAAATTTTCGAAATGATCATTTCAAATAATTTCCATATTATTTATTGTATAAAAAAATTATTTAAAGTCTTATTTAAAGATTTTATAGTGTGGAGAATAAATATAATTTGATATTATTATTATTATTTTTATAGATGTTTTTTTTAAATAGAATCATATATTTCTTAATAATAAATGTAGACGATCATTTCTCATAAAAATCTATTACATTATTTATATATAATAAAAATTATATATATTTTATATAATTTTTTTGATGTTTCTAATATAAAAATAATAATTTCGATTATCTAAAAAATTCATAATTTAAAAAAAACAAAATTGATCCACATATGCTTTGTATTATATAATAAGAAATTATTATCTTATCATAATCTACTAATTTAAATTATAAGTTTAATAAATTTCATTTAAATTTGTAATAGATAAAATGAAAATGAGATAAAATTATCTCCGTTTCATCTAATGTAAATTTCAATTGCTTATAACTTAATAAATAAACTTCAATTGACATATTTATAAATCAAATTTCTTGTATGTTTTAGAATCAATTTTGCAAAGATTTCATGATATATTAATCTTATATTACATAAATCATTATTTATCTTTGCGTTCAATGAATGAAAAAAATATTGCCTAATTTTCTTGCAACAACTTTAAATAAAACAGATTTTTTTTAGCAGATTATTTATATTTACAAATTATATCTATAAATAATAAACTACTCTTCATTCATTGTATCACTTATAATATTATTATAAAAAAATTAAATATAAAAATATTTCTTTTACCCTCTCCATACGATCTCAAATAAAGAAAAATCAATCTACGATAAGTACATATCTCTAAAATAATTTACGAATAATTAAAATAATAATAAAAAAAAAAATTCATTATAAAAACTCACCAAGAAGACTGCGTAGATATCGACGGCAGCGCGCCCGGTGGTAATGATCTCCTAATTGCTTGGCAGCAAGATCTCCCACTTGATGACGCCTCATTGCAACAAGATGGGGGGTTGGTGCACACGTGGCGCGTAACGACACCTGTGGACGTGGTCGGGAACTCGACCGCAGACGCGCGCACCTTGGGCCGCAACAATGGCGACATCGAGAACCCGCCATCCCTCTGATTAGACGCCGAGCTGCTCGAGCTGCTCGAGCCTGGGCTACCACCTAGGCGGCCAGGCGACGCGTACGCGAAACCGCGAAGCCGAAAGTGCGACTGATGGTATGGATAGCCGGCAGGTGGTGGTAGCCGATAATGATGATGGAAACCGAGATCTCGCCTCATGTAAGGGTCAGTTGGATCGTTGGTGGGCACATAACGGTCGGTGGGTGTATGCGCGGATGGTGGCACGTATCTGTCTACATATCTGTCCGGGTAGAGAACCTCCGGAGGCGGTTGAGGCACGTATCGTTCCACAGGTGTGTGAGCCGTTGGCGGAACGTAGCTTCCGGTCGCAGTGCTCGATCCATAAGTTCGATCGGTGGACGTGGCGGCTACCGACGTACCGCAAGACGAGATCGGCGTTATGCGACCGGTGTATCGATCCTTGGGTTTAGGCAGGGACAGATACTTGTCAGCGGCGCGCACAGGCGAGTATCTATCAGTGGCAGAATGAAAACGATCAGGAGTACCGGAGGAAGATGTGAAACGATCCGTGCTAGCGGCAGGGTTCGAGAATCTGTCGTAACGGTCCTGGCCGAGCCTGGTATCGAACTGGTCGCCAGGATTGCCGACAGTGTAACGATCGCTTCCGTAACTCTGCACGGACTTCGATACTTGAAGATACTTGTCCACGACGCTTGTTTTTGTCGCGGCCTGATAGCCGGAACTTGCTGTACAACTAGTCGTTCCGGTTGTTCCCGAGCGAAGATTCGTATTGGCCATCTCGGGAGTGGGAGAGATGGATGTGAAACGATCGTTGGACGTGGTGGATTGCGTTGCCGTGGTGTTCGTGTAAGAGGAGTGATAACGAGAGACGGTGTCGGTCGAGGAGGAAGATGAGGAGGACGTCGCAGAGAGCAGTCGTTCCGTCGACGATCCCGAAACGACGTACCTGTTGGCCACGTCGTTATTGGCCAATCTCCCATCGTGTCCTGGTGACGAGCTAACCAAGTAACGATCGTTGGGCACGCAGAATCTGTCGTTCGCCCGCGATTGGCCGCAACGTTGTATCGCGAGATCGTTGAAACGATCAGTTGTGCTGTATCTGGACTGTGTGCCCCCCACTTCCTGGAAACTAGAATATCTATTGAAATCCGTGGGCGCGGGCGATCCAGTCGATCTGTCCGTATACTTCTGACAAACCGTCTCGACGCCACGATCGGTGTACAAACGTCTCTGCTCGTTGCCGTTCGACGACACCTGCAAAGACCTCTCCGTCGACGTGGAATATCGCTGATGGGAGGCCTCCGGATTGGGCGAATTCGAGAGGAATCTCTCAGCGCTCGACGATATCGTCGAGTAACGATCGTGGTGGATACCTGATGTCGTCTCCTGTCGATGGTATCGTTCGTGTACAGGCGAATCGCTGAGATACCTATCGGTCGACTTGCTCGCGAATCTCTCTGGCACTGGGGCGTGTATAGGTGACGAGGAGAGCAAACGGTCCGTAGAAATGGCACCGTATCTCGATGCGGTTGTATCCTTGCCGGTTGTGTATATTCCGTTCCTGTCTCCTTGTAGACCGGCTTGTAGACTTCCCAACACCGGTGACGAGCCGGACAACAAGCGATCACTTGTTCCAGTGTATCGTTGCTGATCCTTGGACTCGTGCATAGAACTCGACGATTGTTGATTGGCCAATAATCGTTCCGCCGAGGAGAATCGCTCCTTAGCTGGCATCGGTGAGGCTGGTGCCGTGCCCCCGCCATATCTGGTGCTTGGAGAACCTGGGGCCAAAATCCTATCAGCAGCAGGATAACCAGCCAGACTCTGGGTCGAGGCGTACTTCTCGCTTGGGCTAGGTGACAAAGGTGGTGGTGGGACGAAACGGTCGTTGGCGGGTGCCGGTGATGGCGGAGAGGGGAACGTCTCGGACGAGAATGGACTGGTCGCGCATCCCGACACCAAAATATTCGTGTTCGCGTATTCGTTGCCTGTGGAGGCATTGACCAGCTCGTTGGCCAGGTGATGGAATCGAAGCTCGGTGGTGGTGGCCGGTTGAAAACGTTCGCTCGGGGCCAAGGACAATCTCTGGTCACTGTGGAGACTTGTGAGCTCGTTGAAACGTGGAAAACGGTCGACAAGAACGTTTTGCGGCAACGTTTGGCCAGAGTTGCTCGTTCTCCCTGGGGTGAACTGATGGTGCGCTTGCAAAGGGGGCTGGCCGAATCTCTCTTGGCTCTGATAATGACCGAATCGCTCGCAACTCGACTGTATCGAACGAGTTTCCGCGCACGACTTGGGGAAGTCGTCGATCGTCGGCTTGTCCGTTGATTTATCATGCCTCTCGATGCCTGACATTCGCTCCCGGACTCCATAATCGACGTGCTCGTTCCCTTGAGAGGATTGATCCGATTGGTAACGATCTTGACTGGCGACGCTCGACACGCTCGTGCGTAGATCGTTCGTTTGCTGTTGTTGTGCTTGCTTGTAACAATCTGAGGAGCTAG